GTGGGGTCTTCCAGAAAATCCACGTACAGGCGGTTCTCCAGTGATAGATTCTTGATACCGTCCAATGTGCCAGGCGTGCGAATTGTAATCTGAAACTCAGATGAAAGCAAATAATTTTAACAATCACTACAAAATTGTTAAGAAAAATGTAAACGCACCACTGACGGCCACAAGGGCCAGTTGAGGTATTTAACCCAGCATTTAACAGCCCATGTGAAAGTGTGGTACGGAGCCACGCGGTCGCTGTCCACGCGAACAACCTCGTCATATTCGTCGGGCCAACCGTCGTACATGACTTCAACCTGGAGTGTCAATTGTCATAAACTTTTTACTTTAGTGAAGTGAATGAATAATGTGGCAATAATAGCGGACACCGCGACGAACCTCTTCGGACGACGGCACACTCAGCACTCGCGCGACGTTCCACACTCCGTCTTGATCCATCACATCTGCACGAGAATTTGCACAAAAAACAGTTAGATTTGGTGCGTTTATTAGCCTGCAGAGCGGAGAGACGAGAGCACACACCGAGCCAGTCGCCTTTGGTGAGCACGACGCTCTGACGCGGAGATGCGCGCTTCGTCTTGGGCATAGCCGATCGAGCTTCTGTGGCGTTTGGTGGAACACTTCCGGATATTTCAAATTGAAAAATGATTAGAACGTTAGCAATTCGAATTTCAAAATTTTGGATTGAGAAATTTGTTAACCGCGAATAGAAATGTCCGGTAATCTATCCGTCATTTATTAAAAGTGGTGCAAAACTAGTTCTCCATAATTTTACCCATCGCCATTCAGGAAATCTGCCATCAGTTTGCGCTTAAACCACGACTCGAGTGAAAAGCCTTTGCTGGAGCTGAATACTGCCGTGGATGGAGCCGCCAGCGCAGCACCAGTCCGAACACTTGAAGCAGATAAGTTAAGCCGAGGCGGCGGAGCCATCGTGCTCTTGAACCACACAGGTTCCTGTCGTGGCAGTGGTGGCGGTACTACATCAAATTTCCTTGGTACACTAATGACTGTCCTCATGGGAATACCGGTTTTGCTGGTATCTGGTGCCTCTGCAAGTCAAGTTAGTACTTAGTATAAACTACGATTTGGACAACATAATTTCGAAGACATTACCTTCACTATCCGGTTGCACCCCACGAACTCGCTGGCATGGCTGGGACTCTTCGTCTTTGTCGTCGTCTTTTGTGCTTGAATCCTGAAAAACAGGATACACTTTCTCATCAGAGACGATCACCACTCTGGAGTCCTTAGCGTCAGGTAATTCCAACTTTTCTTCTTCCTCGATATCGCCCGGGGATTCTTTCATTGCAGGCGGTGCTGGATCATCACTTAACCCGTCATCTTCTTCGTCCATAGCGTTTGGTATTTCCACGTTTTCCTCAATATTGCCCCGAGAGTCTGTTAGCCTTGGTGACACAGTGTCATCTCTCAATTCGTGGTCTTCTTCGTCCTTGGTGTTTGATATTTCCATGCTTTCCTCTTTTTCAACGTCATCCCCGGTCTTTTTTGATGTTGAAGAAGCAGAGTCATCGCTTGATGCGTCGATTTCTTCGTACCCGAGTGTTTCGTAGACATGATTCTGTTTGTGATGCATTTGATTATGCGCGAAGCGTTGGTACCATTCCTCGTCGCCCATTTTCCTTCGAGCTGCTTCGACAGATTCCGTCGGACTGGATTTGTACTCCAGAGGGAGTGCACCCAAGGCGAACTTGGGCATCTTGGTAGACGCAACAGATTGCAGCACTAACTTCAGGGCTTGCTCAAAATCTACGCCAGTGGATCCCGTGCGCTTTTTATCGAAGTTGTCTTCAAACGTCCGTACTAGTCGTCTCGGTTGCCAGCACCTACAAGATTGAAGTTGTATGAGTATGGGATAAGATCACAAAATTAATACAAATACAAACCTGTCACGCTTGGCAAAGTTAGGACCATCGAAGAAGTCAACAAAGACGCGACGTTCCGCTGCAAGGTTGCGAATGCCTTCCTTGGTCCCCGGTGTGCGAATTGTAATCTACAGCAACTAAACATCAGCTTAAACACTCTCCAAGTAAGTAAACATATATGCATTCAAGCAACACACCAGGGAGGGCCACAATGGCCAGTTAAGATATTTGACCCAACACTTGACGGCCCACGTGAATGTATGATATGGCGCTACACGGTTGCTGTCGATCTGCACGATCTCGTCATACTCCTCCCCCCAACCGTCATAGGTGACTTCTACCTGCAGCAGAGCAATGTCAGTGACACTCGGCTCCAGTGCCTCTAAGCTATACGATAGAGAACCTCGTCTGGTGACGGAACTCTTAACACTCGAGCAACGTTCCACACACCGTCACCATCCAGGACATCTGCATAACAAAACCACATTTCGTTGGAGCATCAGTCAGAAGAGAAGCAATAATGCGTAGATGACGAGGGAATACACACCGATCCAGTCGCCTTCCTTGAGGATGACCCTCGGCTTTAATGCAGGTGCATTGCGGGCGATCAGTTTGACCCGCTCCCTCCTTGCTGGTGCCATTTGAAAAGTGAGAATTATGATGTGTGATATCGAACTTTTTGCCTGCAAAAATGAATGTTGGGTAATATATTCATTGTCGTAGACGGAAGTTTCATGAACACTACCGTGCACGCGATGGATATCGAAGAAGTGTTTGTACTTACTACGTAGTAATTGCGCTGCGTACTTCTTTCTTCCTCTTCTTCTTACGACTATGACTGCGCTAAGCGTACAAAACGGTGGCGAATCGCCACTGACGAATATATAAAACTTGAGTGGCACGATAGCGGCCTTGGGCTCCAAATCTCGCAAAAGCATAGTTGCTGTTGGTAGAACCACGATCTTTCAGTGAGGGTCTCACTGCACTACGCAGCTGCCGCGAATGAAATCGACGATGTCTGTTTGTGCGCAGCGTGGGCAGCGGTACCAACCGTTGGTCTCTGGGCGAACCTTGGCAGGGTCACGGTAGAACGTCTGTCCACATTCCCTGCACGGCGCGTAGTTGCGCGAGTCTGTCCCATCCGCAGGCACGAAAGCCGTCGCCACGGGCACCGCACGTGGAGGCAGCTGACCTGACGGGTAAACAGAGCCTGCCGCTCGGCCGTCGTGCACAACCGTAGCAGCCATGGGCGGGAACAGCACTTGCATGCGGCACACTGGGCAGTAGATCTCAGTGCGAAGGTGGTTGTCAATACAGTGTCCATGGAACAAGTGTCCGCATTGTGGCTGCTTGACGATGTCCTTTTCAAAAAGCCCCTTGTGGCAGCGAGCGCACTGGGCGTTCGTCGAGTCCATGCCTGTCTTGGGGTCCTTAAGCGGCACGTACGAGCGCTGCGGGATATCAGCCGCCGTCTGCGGCAGTGGCTGTGCAGCAGGAACCGATGCAGGGATCATCTCTTCTTCTCGTTGTTAGTCCTTCAGCGCTTAATCGAGAATGTGGCAAGTCGCAGGCGGATCACTCCACGCTGGATTCTCGGCTGATTGCGGACAAACAGCTTGTACCCTTCCACTGTGACACGGACTTACGCACAACATGGCTACTTTTTGGTATACCACACCAAAGTACCGCTTCGCAGGTGCACGTGGCAGTTTACCTCAAGCGACTGCACGCACGTGCAGGAAGGCGTACGCCGTTGCCCTCAGTCCTCAGGTGAGTAGGTGGCATTCCTCCTCCTCTTCTGCATCTCTTCTCTGTGCAAATCAGCACCAGATCTCGGTAGAGTGAGTATCCGCCAGTCTGTATCCTTCAAGAGAGAATCATGTTCGGCTATTTCGCAGAGAAGCTCAATGTGAAGAATCTGGGTGAGCTGCTGGCGCCTACGCTCACGCCCGAGCAGGAATTCCATGCTGCAATCGAGCAGGGGCTACACGACAAGTTTGTGCGCATGCTGGACGAGCTGAATATCGATCCTAACGCCAAGAACGATGCGGGTAACCTCCCCATCCACACGGCGGCGTACTACGGTCGCGTGGACTTCATCGAGCTACTGCTGACGCGCAATGTGGACGTCAATGCCCTGTGCTCGCGCGAGAACTCGCCGCTTCATTACGCAGCAGCGCAGAGTCGCGACGAGGCGGTCAAGTTCCTAGTGAACCACGGCGCCAATCCAGCGTTACGGAACCGTAGCGGCCGTACGCCCTACGACGTAGCCAAGGGGGACAATATCCGCCAGTACTTGCTCCCCCTACAATTCCGGCATGAAGATCCTGCTCAAGCTGCGACGATGCTGCCGCCTGGAATCACCCCGTCCGTGGATCCGATGGCACCTCGACCTGTCATTGCGCCGCCCCCACTAAGCGGAGACTACGCGGCACCACAGGGTCCTCCCATTGGAATGCCCCAGCAGCAGACGCCGCAGAACAATTTATACGCTGCTGCTACGCACAGTGCGATTCCACGAGGTGGACCATCGCGAGTCGCTCGTCCGAAGGACTACCGTCCCATCCAAGCTGACGGCTTCGGCTCGAGTGTCGGCAACGAGGAATTGACGGCCAAGTTTGGCAATAAGCGTGAGATTAAAGTGACGGCACCACCCCCGTCCATGATGGCTCCACCGGCGCCTGCTTCGGCTGACAACGTCCCAGCAGAAAGCACTGCTGCGCCTCCTGCCCCTGGTGTGAACCCGTATGCTTCCACGTATGCTAATAAGCCGCGTACGCCGCCAACTGGCGGGTACTCTGGATACGCGCCTCCTAACGCGGGCGTTGCAGCTCGTGGGCCGCCTCAGTTCAAGATCTTCAACCCCAAGTTGGCTGCTGGAGCAGATGCTAACACCAACGCTGCTCCCGCTGCGGCACCTGCTCCTGTGGCACACCAACCTCCGGCCTTCGGGGCGGCGGCTCCTCAATACGCGCCGCAGCATGGTGCACCTCAGTACGACGCGCCTGCACAAGACGAAGAAGTGAATTTATCTGCTAACGCGAGTGTGCTGCAGTAGCTGTAGAGGCGGTAGCAGGTTGAAATTGTGAGCAACAACAGAGAGTTAGAGTGCAACATACCGGTACAGTTGAAGTTGCCTCGTCGCGTTTGTAGCCATCCGGTTGTTTGTTTTAGCGTGGTCCACTCGAATTATCCGCATAATTGTTTCGTAGCGAGTGACGCACACGAGATCATGAGCGTGGAGCAGGAGACAACGAAGGCGCTGGAGTCGCTCTCGTTCGAGGAGCTGTCGCTGCTCAATGAGCGCAAGGAAGCGCTGAAGAAGGACCATGCAGCATACGTGGAGGCTCACCCGGAGATTAAGACGCTTCTGAGTGGCTTCATGTCCGCTCTGTTGCTTGAGAAGCCCCAGGACGTGGTGGCCTTCGCGGCCGAGCATTTCTCGGCCTTCAAGCCGCCGCACACGGAATTGGAGCCCATTGTGATCGCTGGACCGTCTGGCGTGGGCAAGGGTACGCTCATCAACCTGCTGCTGGAGAAATTCCCCAACACTTTCGGCTTCTCTGTGAGCCACACTACCCGTGGCCCGCGCGAGGGCGAGGTGGACGGCGTGGCCTACCATTTCACGGAAAAGGAGAAGGTGCTGAAGGAGATCGAGGCCGGTCTCTTCCTGGAACACGCTGAGGTGCACGCCAACGTGTACGGCACCAGTAAGCGCGCCGTGCAGGACGTGCAGGAGAAGGGCAAGATCTGCATCTTGGACATCGACATCCAGGGCGTGCAGCAGGTCAAAAAGTCGGGTATCCGCGCCAAATACCTCTTCATCGCCCCGCCCTCCATGGAGGAGTTAGAGAAGCGTCTGCGTGGACGTGCCACGGAGACGGAGGACAAGATCCAGCTGCGGGTCAAGAACGCCGCGGGCGAACTGGAGTATGGCCAGCAGCCAGGAGTTTTCGACGCCATCCTCGTTAACAAGGTGGTGGACGACAGTTTCCGGGAGCTGGTCGCTACACTCAAGCAGTGGTACCCTACTGTGGAGCTCAAGTAGATGCATTGGAACGATAACGAACTACTCAAATTCAATGAAATTCGAGTGATGAATCGTTATTCTCTCATTTAACTGATGCGATATTCTACGTGGAGAGTGTCTTCAGGCTTTGGCTTTGGCACTACAATGGACGAGCGTTTGCGGTCTTTGATCGTTGGCTTCCGACGGCCTTTGAATGCGTCGATGACTGCTGCTAGTGCTGATGGATCGGTTGGTGGAGTTGCAGCGATGGCCGGACGGGGTGACTGTACTTTGATCGAAACGGAGCCGAGCACAGCCGCCTGGTTGAGCTCTGCCATCCACTTTTGCTTGTCAATCGCACTGGACGCAGTAAAGAGGAACTGCAAAGCGTCGACTTTCAGTAAGAAGCTTTGACGCAGCAATGCCTCGGCTTCTCCAGAAGTAACTGGAACGTCGAGTACTGAGCTGGATCGGTGCGGGTTGTACAGATTGTATCGACGAAGACACGGAGTTTGTGCGAGGTTATTGAGAGAAAGAGTATCGGCGTATTCGCGCAGTTCACTATCAACCAGTGTGTAAAAGAATCGACGTCCTTGATGAATTCGAGGAAGAATTGCGGCCAGTAAATCGCGACAGTCTTCATCGGCTCTAACGCGTAAGCATGTCAGGAAACCTTGTTTTCTTGTCAATTCTTGGCGAGGAATAGCGTCAATATCTTGCAGCAGTTTCGGGTTTGAACGAGGTGTCCTTGAAGGTTTGTGTTTAGACGGCTTTATATGAAACCTTGGTGACTGTTCTAAGTGCACATTCTGCCGCTGGTATGATTCACTGGGTTTGGCGAACGGGGACGGACAATCAGCGAAATACTTTCCCAAGCTGTTCACTGCAGTATGGGAAGGTTCGAGTCGCATTGCTCGCATTGGCGATCCGACCATGCACATCAATGCATCAACTCGTTCACGGACGTCGACTTCGTAAAGTATAAACCCGTCTTGGATAAAAGTCATCACATTGTCAACATTCTGCGATAAACTCGACATTCTGCGGCGACTTCCTTGTTCTATGATGGCATTTCCAGCGACAGGATCCTTGTCGTCCAGGCCCACCTGACCGGCTAATCGCTTGTGTTGCACGTCCATTACTTCAACATTAAGTTTAGGAGTGCTGTTGTCATCCTTCTTTGAAGCAGACTTCCTCAAAAACGATCCTACCAAGTAGGGGGCTAAGAGCTCGTTAGGAATTTCATAGCGCTCAATCCGATGCTGCGTATTGTACTCAGCATTGACCCTTTGGATGCATTCGGGCGAAGTATCATTAGCTGTAAATGCATCCGTATCGTAGGTGTTTCTCGTTTGTGTTGATAGTGAAGAAGATTGTGTTGAGCTTTGAGCAGCGGGAGAATGAATATTTGGAAGTCGTTGAGTCGGTCCATGTTTCTGACCCAGTAATGCCAGCTTCTCGTTCATCACTGTCGCGGTGGCTCTCTTAGCCAGCTCAAACTGCTGCACGTACAGTTCCTTCAACTGGTGACTTAAATCCTCGAGGCTGGACAACATACCTCGAGGTACAATCGCTTTTAACTTGTCGATCGAAATGCTTGCTATCGTCGCGGATGCAGAGGTTGAAACCACAATAATGGGGAAGTGATCGGCATCCATCCAGAAAATATGCCCAGCACTCACATCAGCTACAGTTGCCAAGACTTTAATGGCTTTAATGCGAGGAGGTTGACGTTCATCTTCGCACGGATCATAACCAACACCTGCACCAGAACGGCTAACCAAAGTGACCGTTTGACGAATACAGCATGTGCCCTCTTTGATCAAAAACACCTCTGCGGCAGGACCCAGTGCTCGATTGCTGTCATGATGTTGAATTATACCTACAAGGGAACAAGAATAAAAACATCAATAAGAAGAAGACCGAAGCTACTAACTACAACGTACTAGTTCCTCGAACGTGTGACTGAAATGAAAAGCTGTGATACAGATATGCGATTCGCTCCAGGTCCAGTGAAGTGAAGGATGGTATTCGTGTACGTAGATACTCAATGTTTCCTCGAGCTTCGTCCTTGCACGGCCAGTGTTTCATAAACATCTCCGCTGGAATCGACAAAAGCTTCGTGGGTTCTGCTGCAATTGCAGCGATATAACTAGGTGCCTCTGGTATCAAAATCTCAAACTCTCCGAATCCCTCACCCGCAACAACCTCACGTAAAATAAAATCGGGGGTAGAGGAATTTGCACTTGGGGATACTACAGTATTACTACTGGGACCACTCGCAACGAGATTGATACGACCACTTAGCAGCAGGAAGAAACGATGACCCGTACCATTTCCATCTCCATTGCCCTTATATGCATCCGTGTAGCGATCCAAAGCCTCAAATCGGGCATTCAAGCACAACTCGCGTCGAGCATCTTCCGTCAAGTCTCGCAGTAGCGGAAAATGGGCGATAGTTCCCATTGTCAGAAAGCGTCGTTGGTTCAAAATGTTCTTGAAGAAGTCGAACAGTTTGGGTGGCTTCTTTACTCTAATGAATTCTCCAGTCTCCTCAGCCCCTGAGTGTGAGGCTCGTTTGAAAAGCTTTTTACTCGCGATTTGCCACTTGGCTTTAGCATTTGCCGAAAGTTCGTTCGCGACATCTTCTTCTGTTCTGGCAAGGATTGAATGCAGCACATGTCGATCCAGACAAAGGACTTCAGTCCCAGCCAGGGAGCGATTGGAGCCTGTTTCTTTCGTGTCCGGACTGCCAGGAATAGTAGTATCGGCGTAGATATCGTGCGCACTCCGAACAATACCGATGGGGGACGAAATCTCTTCACCATAGATATCTCCTGGACCCAGGAAAAACATGAAAAGAGCTTTGGTTGTTTCCTTCGCCGATGAATTGTTGGTGCTCTGATCGTCAGACTTACGTTTGATCTTAACTTTATTCACCATGGAGTGAAGCGACCTCCGAGTGCCGGGAGGATTTGTCGGGGCATGCGGTTGTTGTTGGGGATCGTCCGTATTGCCTACTTTTCGAGACTCCTTGGCTGCGTGCAAAACGAAATCTGTGAATCGTGAGTTGGCAAGATTTGACTTGGAGTTTTGCTCTGAGGTTTCAATCTCTGCGATTCGAGCAATTTTCCGTTGAAGAGCTCTCCGGTTCACGGTTCCGACGCCAGATCGATCCTGATACAACTGCTGAGACGTAGTGGAGTAGTTGCTCGCAACACTTCGCTCCAATGCGGCACTTTGTACAGAACGCTGACTCGCGTTCAACACCGAGATAACCTCCTGGCTTTCGCGAACATACGCAGCAAGTTTCCCTTTGACAACAAGTACGACTTGTTGGATTGCCTCGTTACACTGAATCAACCGTTGACCTGGTGCAAGATGCACGTGATGCATCGAGCGCAGCAGGAGTTTCTTTTTAGCATCAGAAGGCGGTAACCACGGGATTTGAGCTACTTCTAGGTATGACAATAAAGGGGGTGGAATGGTTCCTGGTCGTTGGTCTGTGGTTGATTTAGGGGTTGGCGGATGCCTCGGATCCTTTGAATCCGATGGGGTCGCTGTCCTTGATGAAGCAGAAATCTCGTTGTAGTCGCTCATATCAACCGCGGGAAGATGCTCTTCTAGTATCCGAGCGTACAAACTCTCGTCGAATTGAAGATATTCACAATCAGTTTGTGCTAGAACTGTTGCGGGACACACAGTTCCTTCCTGAATCACCCCCGTTCGAAAAGCGTTCCGATATGGGAGCGTCTGGATATGAACTCCATGCATTGCTGCACGATGTTTTAATGCTACAGATGGAGCAATAGCTGGGTTTTCATCTACTCCTTTGTCAACCACGAAGTCTTCCGGGTTGATAGTGCTACCAGAAAACGTCGAGTACATACAAAATGGATGCTTCTGAAACATATCGACAACTGTCGACATGTTTTCGAGACTGTAGAATGACACAAACCCGGATAATACGACGACTAGTGCTCGCTGAACGTCTCCTTCACGAAACATTTCTTCACCTGCAGACTTGTTCACCACTGTTGCGTGAGTTAACATTTGTGCGAGTAGAAACCGCGGGACAGTTGGAAAGAGTCCAAACCGCTTCAGAAACATTGCTGCATCATCAAGACGGCGTTCTTTGATTCTATCAGATCCCACAATACCCGATAAAAACACCGATGGTCCAGACTGGCGTCTATTCACCTTTGACGCAGCCGCATAATTGTTTGCATACGAGCGTCGTGGACTTGCTGGAGGCGAAGAATTATTCCATACGAAACTCTGTAAAATACTACCAGCTTTCACAATGATATTGTGGCGCATAGGAAGAACCCACCGTTCGAAGGCTGACCGAGTGATAGAGAGTAGCGTAGTTCCAGCGTCCGCGAACACAGGGGCTTCGCAAGTTAGACACCGCTTCATCAGCTCACGTACACCAAATGCATCACCCGGGATAAATTGCACAGACTGACCGAGCGATATATGTCTCGCAGTCCCCTGGTGATGCAGAGTCTTCTTTGCTGTGGTTTGATTAGTTTCCTTCCCGCGATAATAGTGAGTGTGCAGACCTCCTTTCACAACGATAAACACTCGGTCGATAGAGCTGCCAGGCTCCCTTAATATACTATTGGACGCGTAGTGGTGGATATCCATGCGATGACAAAGTCGTTCAATCACAAGAGGTGGAAACTGAAAGAAAAACTTTGACAGAGTTGTATCAGTGAGCAGTTGTCGAGTGATCTGGAAGATATTCCGACTCTCAATTGCTGAAATTAAGGAGGGTGGCAGTGATGAAGTGTACGCTGTACCGAGAATCGGATTGTATGATAGTCGAAGCTGATCTTCTCGGACGAGCTGCTCGTATTGATCTCTGGTTATCCAAAGGATCTCAGTGGACGAGTCACCTGCAATGGCTTTAAATCGTACATTTGTCTGACGAGAGCGACGCGGGTTTGAAGCCCAAATATGAGAGAGTCCAAGCGCGAGCATTTGGTCGCCAAACGTATGACCCCGAGTGAGCGATACGAGTGGAGCTTTTGGCGTCACCAACCGTAGAGTTTTGTTTAATGGACTCGAGCTTGCTGGCGGGGTGTTTCCAGACCCATTCGAAGAAAAAGGAACCTGGTTATTAGCACATTCAACGCAGTGGACATCTAGCCGACCGTTGCGAACTATAGCGAAAGCGGTCATGCTTGAATCCTTGTCTGCATCTGCGGAAAATAGTACTTCTCCGGCCTCCAGCTGTCGGGTTGACGCAGTTTGCAGCAATGTTTTTCTTGCCGTATCTGATAGCAGCGAGAAAATTACTAAATGAGAAACATCCGTGCGTGTGGTTTCCTAGCAAAAACCAACATGTGAGTTAGATTAGAACAAATGAACCGGTGTCGATTTTCATAACCTTCGATGAGGTGAGGACGCCCTTTTCATAAATGAAGCCGAATAATTCTGAGACTCGATCTAACGTGTCCTGTTCGTCGCAAAAAAAAAAGTTGTCAAGATAATTTGACTGAGCATGCACAGGGTTAGCAAGTTTCACCTTTGCTAAAAGAATGACGGCTGTAGCTTCTTGACTGTGCTATGCAATGAGGAACAACAGAGAATAAGCCATATAGCTCACTCAGAGCAGCATGAGAGGAAAACAACCATCTTACCACACTTCTGTGACGACAGAGAGGTTTCTGATGTTGTCGGCCTCGCGCTGGTGGTCTCGGGTAGAAGTCGTCGATTCCGCAAATGGCTGTAACCAAAAGATTATAAGTGTTATTGTCCTATTTGCAATCAAGCATCTGAATTTTATCAACACAGAATGATCCAGGTAAGTACCGCCTTTGCCATAAGTGACTTGAAGATCGCCAAAGTCGATAGTCACGCCTTTCGCATTGCTCTTTTTGCTGTTCCAGGATCGGAAGTCTTCTCTGCTGTGCCTTTGACTAAAAGCTTTGTTAAAGAAGCCGCAAAGCGAGCCTTCGAGCTGCAAACAGCAGAGTACGTACATCAATGTGTGTATTTTACAATTGTTTTGGTTGTTCACGCACGTACAATAATGTAGGCATGGGAGTGGTCATCAACTGCATCTTCCTGTAGAGATGTTAAGTTGCCAGCATAGCCGAAAACAAGATGAATCTAGGCGTCCACATACCTGGTAAAATATAACTTCTCCATCAGGAATACGCTATGTGCGTGAAACGACCGGGGTTAGTGTATTATTCAGCGGTTAATAAGCCACAGCAAAGCTTTAGCACTGACATTAATTGTGCACTCAGTCGCCAAGTCTATCCATATAGTATTGAGGAGAAGATAAAGCATCATCACAGACATTAGCTTGGTAGCAACAGCCAGCAATCCCTAAAATCATTATTTAACTCGCTACGTACAATGTAAAATCTGCGGGGAAACAGAAGAAAGCACCCCAAGACTTGCGAGGTATTGCTGAATTATTACCACGTCGATATCACTGCGAAAGCGAGGCCTGTCGAGCAATAAGAAAAGAATCATCATACTAGTAAAACGATACAGTATTCTCTAGTGAGCGTACGGAGTTTCAAGAGCTGCTATCAACAGAGTCCGCTTCAAGGTGGCCAACGCCTCTGCATCCGCTTGACCTGAAGCGCGACGAGCATTGTCTGGATTCGGCAAAGGAGCGTGAGTGGGGCGCATAATTAGTTGTTTCTGCAGCCAAAACGCCAAGTAGTGCAGTGATTGTTCTCCTGAGTTTGCTATTTACAATGTAGCGCACAGTACATGGCTACACAGAGTGACACATCCCACAAGAAACCACGGTCAGCGCTATAAAATCACCAGGATGACATCCTCGACGCAACTCGAAACCGCCGAACGCAATCGCGGCGTGGTAAGTAACTTCACTGCATCTCTACTGCGCTGTTTTTGCTGACTGGTTGCTGCCCAGGTCTTCCACGTGTCGCTGCTGTACAACCTGGTGTTGCAGCACGAACAGCGACGTCCATGGTGGAGCCGCATCGAGCCGAGATTGATCCTCGGCGCGCTACCGCTGCAAAACAAGAGCCACTTGGACCAGGTCAGCTGCGTGATCTACCGGATAATTCTCCACCTGGACTTATAGTGTTTGCACGCGGGTGAATGCAGTTGGTACAAGGCGAGGGCGTGAAGGCTATTGTGACTATGAACCAGCCAGTTGAACTGCTGCCAAACTTACTTTCAACTCCAGTTTCTCCAGGTGCGAGGAAATTTCGCTAAGGGTGATAACTTATCGTGTACTAAACATGCACAGCTGAGTGGGAAAACGCCCAGGTCACCCAGTGCTTTGGCTCGACAGGAGATTTTACTCCGCCGACACTGGAAACACTAGAGAGGTTGGATTGAGAGGAACCCCTTCGCTGCTGTGGTACGACTAATTGTGCTAATTGTGCGTAGGTGTGTGAGTTTTGTGCATGAGCAGGTTGATGTGCAACAGAATACGACGTACGTGCACTGCAAAGCTGGCCGTGGTCGCAGCACCGTGGTAGTGGTAGCGTTCCTCGTTCAGTATCGCGATATGAAATTGGAAGAGGCCTTCGAGTTCGTGAAAAGCAAGCGCCCGCATGTGAGCCTACATCCGAAACAACGTCGCATCCTGCACGAGTTTAGTAAGAAATATCCATCTTCCGCCGGCGCATCGCCTGCAAGCACAATCACATAGGCCAAGATATGTAAAACCTCTTGGATGCTGAGTAGCTCACTCGTCTACGTGAAGCTACCTATACCTCCATTTCAACTGAGTCAAACGCAGACATGTTTACACTAATCTAAATGTATAGATGCCTTCATCGTTGGTGGGTTCTTCCCACTCGAAGCCGAAGCTCTTGGCGGTGTCGAGAACGTAATCAATAGACACATTGCGCTTCGTGTAGGCTAGTAAAAACTCCGACGCGGCCTTACCTCCGTCCTCCACACTGCGACGACCTGGTTTGAGTAAATACTTGGCCGTCTCAAATAGTGAAACCACGTGCTCCTGCTCGTAAATGATATCAGCACCCAGGACAATATCGAACTTGTCCTCGATCTGGTCAAGACTGACGCCCCACAGCAGCTTTCGGCATTCTACGCGATCCTCCACACCATTGAGCTTGCAGTTGGCGATCAGGAGATCAATAGTGTCGTCGTCACCGTCCGTGATCACCACCTGCTTGTCCGTAAGGTAAGATGCTAAGATACCAATGAGGCCGAGACCACTTCCCAACTCGATGATAGACTTGCCCGCGAACCGGCTACGGTCCTGGTACATGTACTCGCTCAGAAAGTCGCCAGCGCGCCAGAGCGTAAGACCCGTAGACTGCAGAGTCTGTCCGATATCGCGGCGCAGTCCATTGAGGCGGATGGTGATCTCAGCATCCTCTTCTTCTCCACTCTTGCCAAATTTGAATTCAAATGAGTCCTCCTTGGGCTCAATATCCAACGCCTTCTGGATGTCCAAACGCACGTCCGACGAGTCGTCTTCTACAGCGATACCGCGCTCGATCGCGAACTCCTGCAAAGCCGCCAGTGCGGCGCCAGACAGTGCCAACTGCTCGCCATCACTTTCGCTGTCGCTGTTCATGACCGCCAGTCACAAAATTTAGTTTTCACTGCAAGTAATATTCAGACAATCCTCTTTGTAGTGATATCGTGAGACGGTCACTTTTTATAACTATCCTGAGGAATCACTATCTAGAGCTGGAGCATTTGTACCAGTACAAGGGTACCATCGTCTTACTGCTGACTTGCACGGTCGATTTCATGATGACGCGATGGGTGTGCTGCCTCGAGCGATGAGCGGGTTTCGGACTCTGCATACTGTGTTTCAAGAAAAGTTGGGTCGCAACTGGGGCCGGAAGAAGCAAATATCGATGCTCACCAAACGGGTACTCCCTTTAGTTAACGACCATTTGATAGTAATAACTGCCGACTATGTACAATTTGGAGGTTAGAGGTAGTTTAGAGTCAAAACTTTTGTTGTATTGTGCGTTGCACCCATTCTGTCTAAACGATGTCGTAACTCGTTGTTTTAGCAAATCTTGAAAAATAATTTAACATTAATTTACCTACGGTAATCGTCGAATTAATGTTGAATTACCATTTACTCGAAGAGTTAATGTTGTCTTATGCGAGTTTTCGTTGAATGGCTGTAATAAAAGCGCCAAACCAACGTCGTACACTCTAACTCTTTCTTAAGCCCGTGCAACTACATTCCAGAAGATGACATTTTCTATCGATATGCGTTGGAGATCGATTGTGTGACGGGGTCACACAGCATCTTGTGCAGAGGAAGTTTACTTCCTCTAGAGTATACAAACTCTAAGTGAACGACCGTTCACGTGTTCCTGGTCTGAAGGGGACGAAGTACTCACTTGAGGGTACGATTAAGACTGAATGTATTTATA